TCAGCAGGACTAGGGAGAAGAATTGGGGCTCTTCTGTCCCCAGGTGATCCCCAAATGGCCTCTTGCCACCTGGCATTCCTTAGAATAGGCTTGAGGCTACTACACATGGAGCAGTGCATGGCTAAACCAAGAACAGAGGAACTACCTTATTGGTCCTTCTCCCCACCTTCCTTCCCCCCCGTTCTGTCCCCCCATGAGTTTTTAACTATCGCTGAGATTTAGGACCAAAGCCATGGCTAATACTTAGGGCCAAAATATCCACTTTTCCTTAGTTTGGTTAAATTATCTTAGTCTTCCCATGTTAGTATACAGTGTACAGTCAAGCTTCTTTTTGTGGTCTCTCAAAAAAATAAACAAACTTTAGTGAGACTGAGTTTGTATTTATTCAGTTTAAATCCTTTGATTTATGTTGCTCCAAGGATGAAGTTAATTAAATGTGGGTAGTAAACACACACTGATTTTTTCCCATATCTTTCTTCTGAACAGGCTTTCAAGTTTTCTTCCGTAGAAAAGCTTGACAATATTCTGACCTTCCTATTGAAAAGCGAGGTGTCTGCTTATGAATGCAATGTTTTTCAGAGTGAAGATATGCACCATGAACAAGCTAGTGAGTACATTTTCATATATGTTTCTATAATACTGTTTGTAGTGCTTGCCTATACATGTTAAAGACCACTGTAAATATTCATACTGTGGCCGTTATTGAAATGCAAAATAACCAGGAACATGTAAAATTATTTGTGAACCAATGTGACACTGCTGTCATATATTAGCCTTATTGAACAACAATCCAACTTTTAATTCCATTTCTCAGTGAGTGTTCAGCTGTGACAGTACAAAATCCAAAAAAGATGGAGGGTAAAATCCAGATTGGTTCCTCAGGTGTTTCTATTTACATGTCTAAAATTTTCATCATGTCTAAACTTAGGTGCCTGGTTCCAGGAAAGTGATTCAAAGAAAGATAGTTGATGAGTACCTATATTCCCTTTGCTGTCAATGGTGAGTGTTTGGTACCTCTGAAGGTCAATCCAAGGAGTGAACAGGCAGCTGCCTAGAGCTAGCCAATAAGAAACACTAAACATGGGTGTGTGTTTGAACTCTGCCCTTTTTGACATGTAGAATTCAGAAATCATTTTCTGAATGCCAATACCTGATTGTGCTAGTAATGCTAGTCTCTTGTGTAATGGTCCAGTGGTCAGAGCACTCACCCAGAACCAGGGAAACCAGGGTTCTAAGCCTCTCTCAGTCTGAGGGGATGTAAACCCACATTTCCCAGAAGTATGCTGTATCCATTGGGTTATAGCAGAGGTGGGCAAAATAGAACTTGTGGGCTGGATGTAGCCCACCAACGAATTGGATCTGGCCTGCCTTTGGGCAGGCACCTGCCAACTGATTATATCCAGCCCACAGCTGCCCCTGCAGCACTCCGTGTGGGGCTGAGCCTGCTCCTACCTGTGGCAGCCTGCACTGCCTTTGCCAGCCTCCACTGCTTCCCTGCCAACAGCTCCAGGCCCATCCACTGCACATAGCTTCCCAGTGTGTCTGCACCTGCCTGGGTATTGCTAGGCTTCCCCACCTCCAGCAGCCTCTTCTTCTCCCTACACCCAGCTGGCTCCTGGGACTAAGCATGCAGGCATCCCCCTGCCACACCCATCCCCAACACACACTCTTATCCCCCCATATCCCACCACACAAGCACCCCCCAACATATACTCACCTCCCCACATCCCACTGCACAAATACACACATCTCCCTGCACACACCCCTCCAACCTCCACACACAATACAGGTTTCCCTTGGTTTATGTGGGTTCTGTATATGCTCTTATGCAGTGACCCTTTTTATAACCAAAATTTGTTACACGCGAGGTAATTCACTCTTATGCGATTGGCATAGGCGGTCCACCCCAAGCAGCTAAGTCTGTGGGGGGAGGGGAAAGGGCCATGGGGCCAGGGCCCTGCTGCAGCTGCTCTGGGAGTGGCCAAACGCCAGCTGCCTGCAGGCACTGGGCTGCACTGTGCCCCAAACCCCCCAAGGCTCCACTTGTCCCCACTCACCCCAGCTCCTGGGCCGTGCTGTGCCATGGTGCAGGCAGGTGGTGCAGCTGTTCCCAGGTATGCTGCAGCAGGAGGTGGGGTGAGTGGGAGCAAGCGGAGCCCCAGAGGGTTTGGGGCACTGTGCAGCCCAGTGGCTGCAGGCAGCTGGCATCAGCTGCTCCTGGGGCCATTGCAGCAGGGGCTGGGGTGGGTGGGGAGAAGCAGAGATGCGTGGCTGCAGCAGGGAGCAAAGCTGAGGGAACTGCAAGTGGGTGCAGGGCGGAGGGCAGGGGGGCATGGTTCCTGCTGCTACGCACACCCCGGGAGGGCTGTGGGGCTGTGCTAGGCTCTTCCTGGGGGATGTGCATTCCCGGATCTGTGTGTAGGACCAGAGCAGGTTGCTGTTGCAGGCTGGGGCTCGCAGTGGCACCGGGCTCTTCCCAGTGCTTGGGGCAGACGGTGGTGCTGGAAGAGCAGGTTGGAGGGGCTACAGCAAATTGTGGGGTGGCAGCAACCCCCCTCCCAGCACCGCCACCTGCCTCATGCACAAGGATGAGCCCAGTGCCACCTCCGGCCCCAACCTGCAGTAGCAGCCTGCTATCATCTTGCATGCAGATCCAGGGGCACATGCCCCCTGGGAAGAGCCCAGAGCAGTCCCCCAGCCCGCAGCCCTCCCGGGGGGTGTGTAGCAGCAAGAGCCGCACCCCCACCCTGCACCCACTTACAGTTTCCTCTGCTTTGCTCCCTGCTGCAGCCCTGCGAGTGGCCAGCAGGCTGCGCCGCACCCTTCCCTCACCCCTTCCCTAGCCCCAGCATTACTCTATCCCTCCTTCACTGCTGTGGGAACATATCCAGGAACGCAGGTACCACATAATTCAAGGGACACCTGTATACAGGCAACCCCCGCTTAATGCTCTTTGGCTTAGTGCTATTTTACTATAACGTTCATTTAAAATTGATACCTGATTTCACTTAGCGTTCAGCGAGTTTCATTATAACACTCACGGTTGCCATCTTAGGTCATTAAAAACAATTGTGGTCGCCATCTTGGGTCATCAGATACTTTCAGTTTCCTTTAACATTCGTTTCGCTTAATGCTCGGTTTTCCAGGAATCGATTAAGAGCGCTAAGCGGGGGTTGCCTGTAGAAGAATAAGACTGTATTTTGACTTATTATGCAATTGCCTTTATATACACTATTCAAAAAACCATAAATCAGGAAAAATATTTTTTGAAATAAAATTAAAATGTTATAGTAGATGTTTGATTTTTAATATCTGATTTGTTTTTAATCAAGAGTTTGTTAAAATTATATCTTTTGAAAGATTTTATGTGCACGGCTCTCAACAGCTCACCAAAACTTGTTGAGTGGCTTTTCAACTGAAATAATTGCCCACCCCGAGTTATAGGATAGCCTTCGTGTCAAAGGCTACTGAGCAAATGAAAATGCATTGGGCTAGAACTAACAAGAGGGATCCAAACTTTGTGGTCTCATGAATAGGACACTCAGCCAGGGAGATGGACAGGCCTGAGTTTTGATCCTAATGAATTTTCTAGTTCCAAAAAAAAATGGATTGGCTTTTGGACTTTGGATGCTTAAAGTCCATCTTAGTTCCATTTAGATGCCTAGCTGACTAATCTGGGTTTCGTCCTATATGATCAATTGACTGGGATGTCAATAAATACTGGTATTTAGAAGTAAATGCAGAGTCATAGTTAAATTTTCTCCTTGCACGTAACCATCAAACCTATAACTAATAAACTTGTAGGGTGGGGTACACTTTTGAGGTATCAAAATTTTTCTCAAGGAAGTAGTGTATTTGAGTAGTTCTTCTGTTTTATGTATACAGACTAAGGTTTCAGGGGAAAATCTTATTATCTATGAGTATAATATCACATCTTCAGCCTGGAAAAGAGAAGGCACAGGGGGGACTTGATGGCAGCCTTGAAGTATATAAGGAGTGGGTGCATCAGGACCTGGGAGAACAGTTGATCACCAGGGTTCCCCAAGGGATAACTAGGTCTAATGGCCATAAACTCCTGGAAGACCGAGTTAGACTGGACATAAGAAAAAAGCTCTTTGCAGTCCGTGTGTCCAGGGTCTGGAACAGACTCCCTCCAGAGATGGTACAAGCACCTACTCTTGACTCACTGAAAAGGCGTTTGGATCTTTATCTTGCTGGGATCATTTGACCCCAGCAGACTTCCTGCCTATCGCAGGGGGGCTGGACTCAATGATCTTGCAAGGTCCTTTCCGGCTCCTATCTATGGAATCTATGAAATCTACAAAATCTATATAATATTATTATATATTCTCTCCCAGTATAATGCCAGAATATTGTCATTCTGAATTTCTTTATTGGGTATAATTCATGCTTTTGCATCATGCCAGCCCAGGAACTGTGTCCCACTTAAACTTAATGAGTAAGGCTTTGAAGTAAGTTTGGCATACACAACCTCATGCAGACCTTGTACCTGCCATCTGCAGGGTGTGTATTTTATTGTATTATATCAAGCAAAGCATTTCTCTATATTAGGCCAGTACATAGGAAATTTGCTTAAGGGGCTTAGGATTTGGTCCAGTACAAAGAGGACAGGACTTACAGGATACTATAGACTCTAAAGATAAAAGTTTAATCCTGAAATGCAGAAAATTTCCTCCTCCTGTCTCTACCATACCAGTTTGAGCTGGGTTTTGTTTTGTTTTGGTTTGGTTTGGGGGTTTTTTTTGGGGGGGGGGGGGGGCAGGGGTTGCTTGTGTTCACTTTGAATCATTTCAGGTTGGCAGGAATTAATAGATTCATAGATTGCGAGGCTGGAAGGGACCTCAGAAGATCATCAGGTCCATCCCCCTGCACCAGGCAGGAAAGACAACTGGGGTCAGGTGACCCCAGCAAGATGACTACCTAGTCTCCTCTTGAAGATTTCCAGGGTAGGTGATTGCACCACCTCTGGAGGGAGCTTATTTCGCAGTCTGGACACCCTGACCATGAAGACGTTTTTCCTAATGTTGAGCCTGAAACGGTCTTCCAGGAGTTTGTGGCCATTATTTGTGAATTTGGCTTAAATTGTTTTGACATTTCTGAAATGAACTATTTTGACATTTCCTGAGACATTTGTTTTTGGTAGAACTTGTAATAAAAAGCTAGGAACTGAATGCTAGGTCCATAAAATTACTAGAGGAGAAAATGGTGGTATTGGTGCCTTCTTTTATCTGAAGTCAGTGTTTATAAAGTACTCACCTTGGGTGTGGAAGACCCCTGCTTATTGCCTTCTCCACTTCACTGAGGATTGGAAGACATAACTTCCACCTTTCACAGGGGTGTTCTCACAAACATGCTATAGGTGTACTGGAGGTATAATGAAAATAGCACCACCTCTTCCAGTGAGACCTGGCAAAGGGTACAATGTGACCTGAAAACTTACCTGTGTCCCTCCCAACCATAGAGTTGGCCCAGTAAAAGATATCACTTACACAAATCCTTGCTTCTCCCATTTTTCCTGGACTATCATGGCTACAATATCACCCCAACACTACTACAACTTCACATAGCACTTTCTGAATCTAGCTT